TATATATATATATATATATATATATATACATATGTATATATACATATATACATATGATCAGACCAGCATTAAGTAAACCATAAAACCCGTTTAGATAACTTAAATGTGGTGAGTTTACTTAACACCCTCTTGCATAAATTTCTATAAAGCTGACTACTAATTTTACTCCATTTTTTTTTCTGGGCTGAGTAATGTAATTGGGGACAATTATGGAACTAAAAAAGCTGACTATGTGGGTAAATATTGTGATTTTACTCGGACATTTTTTAAGAAAGATTGAAAAGACTTATGTTCGCGGTTCGCATGATAAATATTTTAATAATAGTAATCTGCTGACCAATTCAACGAAAATCACATAATGTCATACATATGTTGAACATGCTGGGAATTGAAGGCATAAATATTACGCGTGAATGGATTTCGCAACTTACTAATATACACAGGCTCAGTGATTGGCAGCGATAGTAGCAAATCAGCGACGGCGTTTGAAGTGATAATTTCTTGTATTAATAAGAGACAAACCATTGTGCCACTGACCATAATTCCTTGTCTAAAGCAGCAGACCTAAAGGTTTCAGTGTATACGTTTTTGAGTAAGTGGAAAATTGTTTCAAGTCGTGAAGTAGTTGTGGTTCTGAGTGGTCAGTGACAACAGATGGTGGAAATTAGTGCATGATTTGTCGATGAGGAAATTATGTAGACCCTTTCTAGTACTTAAAACATGAGTTTGTGTTACTAGACAGATGGTCAAATTGTTCATTACCATCATGAAACACAAATAACAACTCATCCAAACGATATCCAAATCCAGAGTCATAAAAAGAAATTTACAAGTCCAAAAAATAGAAATCGCAGCTTCAGATAGAAATCGTTATTTGCTACTTTTCGAGGAGAATTGTGTAACTACACAAAGTGGTCAAGATGGACCTTTTTCGACAAAAGATGTCTATATTAATATAGATATATTACAAGAGCAACTTGTAATTAGGTAGGTAATTAAGTAGGTAATTAATTGAATAACATGTCATCTTTTCTATGTATTGCAAACAAGAATGTTTCAACTTATTGCTGTGTTTGACCTACACTTCTACACATTCATACACTCAACAGCATTCCTTGATTATGCATGTAAATTAATCATTAGGTAGCCAGTGTTTTTGTCGTTTTTTGGTAAGTGGGACTCAGTTTCATTCAGGGGAAATATACATATAATATTACACAATCAAAAATGTTGTTACACTGGTAAAATTCGAATTTGTTGATTATTATGTAAATACTGTATGTAAAATCGAATGCAGTAACAAATAATTCCCGTGAATTTGCATTACTACCTCCAGTTTTCGCCGCATTAATGTATTGCATCATAAATCTCATTTCAGTGTGTGATTAACGTAACAACGTATATTGAAGCTGTGTCACGCACGACTACTATCTGATGTTCTATATAAAACTTAAATAATCCACAGACATACCAGAGTGTGGGAATAATTGTGTGCAATTTTACGACCTGTATGCTGATTTGTTCGTATTTACAGAATTGTGTAGACGGCCACTGTAAAAGATAATAAGTTTTCGCATGAATCTTTGGGAATTACTTCTTATTGTGAATATGTGCGTGTAGCAATGTATTCTCACGGCGAATAAAGCGAAAACGTACAACCATCGCTACACATCAAAGGAACAGAAACGTCGACCAAAGCCGCCTAACACAACTTTCACGCTTTGTATTTAGTCATCCCGTTTTCAAATCCACTCAGTTTTCAACACATATTTTGCTAAAACATTATCCTGGCTTTTTATTTACTGATAGAATTACGATCGATGAAAATGTGTTCATACACGGAAATGGCGACTAGTTGCACGAACACTACGATAATGATTTTTCATTTTCGACATTGTATAATTCTTAAGTTTTAAGGAAAAAACTGAGAACAACTGATTTTGATAAGAAAATTTGAGATAAATTTACCAAGAATGATTCACACAGAGATGTATTCCGTATGCACACAATAATACTTTTCATACTTACCGATTACTCATAAATATTAAAAACAAAAGATAATTTGAAATATTCTCTATATATTTGCATTTCATTTGTTGTAATTGAAAAAACCTGAATGAACAATTCCTGTACGAATATTAATCAAAATGATTTTACAGTACTTTTTTCCATAAAAACGAAAGAACTTCATAATGTCGAAAACAGGCATGTCGTTATCGTAGTGTTTAGATCTATGGGGGTGAATGAATTTCAAAGTCTGAGTATAAAGTTTACAAAATGGCAATAAATGGATGCAAATATAAAACTCACTGGGAATACTGGTAATGTGTATCATATCGTTGTGTACGAATGAATGAATTATTGAATGGATAGACAACAGATAAGAAATTCAATTGTCCGGGACCTACGTTGTGTGTTGCAATATTGCAAAGACCGTCGATGATATAAAGGGGCCAATCGATGCACTTACATAAACAAACAAAATATCACATATCTTTAAAAGAAAACAAAATAAAGTTACATTACTTCTCGATATTTCACTGATGGACTTTATTTTCCTGTGTATGTTCACTTCACCTGTATCCAGATATTCGGTTACAACAGTCACATTGTAGCTTTCTAGTTGTGCTGTCATAATTCGGTAGACTATGGCTGTGTAGGAGTTCTCTTCTCCAACAATTCCAACATGTGACCATCCGTGTCGCTCAACGAATTCTACGATCATGGCCACGTCTTTGGACGATGGTGAAACTACCCGACTGAATGTATCGTAAACTTTCTTGTTAGAGAGGTCTTCTGAGAGCGCGGCGTAGCTGATCATTGGGATGTTCCAGCTGGAGGCCAACACACCGCACATTTCACAGTCAGTGGAACAAGGCGGGCCGACAATCCCCGCAATGCTGTGTTCACTCACATCTCGCACGATGTGGTCAAGGCACGTCTTACCGTAGTCTCGACAAACGCTGTGACCACTGGTGAAAGTGAGTGTTATGTTAGCGAAAACGTCTTCGTCAGTGTTGATCCTATCACGTGCGATATACGCGGCGGAACCCAGAACATTGTCACTGATGTGCGTGCCTGGTATCCGGTACAGAAACAAAGCTACTGTATAGTCAATGGAATGGACATTCGTGAGCAGAAACCCCTGAATGATATATAGCAATATGCAATACCTGATTCCCAACAAACGAGTTTTCCCAATCATGGTGTCACTTGTAACTGTATCACCTCGTCGGTGCGTGACTGTGACACACTCCGGTGAGCTGTTAAGTTAAAATACCCCCTTTTTATAATAAGAAAAATGTCATCATATCCATTAATGTAAAGTAAGTCGAATTATGAATATTAGCTCTAGTCGCTTATTCTGATCACTAATGACATAGCTTTTGGCTATGTGGGTGAGCAGAGATGTACGGCTGATATAATAAGTGTAATAAGTGCAAAGTAGGCTTGACATCCGGAGTCGAAGGATACGTTCATAACCTGGGTAAATTTCCTTCCTGTATTTTGTCACATCATTACACATTCAAAGTACTCTCAATTATATTTTATGTCAATTATGACGGAATGGCTTGTATCCTCGGGGGCGGAGCTACGTCACAAGACGTTCCACGTTGCTAAGACGCGCACCACTGTACATGTATTTATATGGGCTCTGTGAGCGCTGCTGTGGAACGACGGTCGAGCCGGTGAAAATTCGAAAAAAGAACACAAACCCAACTTTGAAGTAATTCTGAACAACCAAATTTATATATGTTACACACGTAGGAATAATCTTGTTACACTGTTCAGGGGAGTCTCAACAACCATCCCAAGGTACCGTTTTCTGCGAGTTTTTGGCCTTTGTTTTCACCGCCGCGGGTTGCCAGGCGGTGAAAATGCCCGGATGTTCGCCTCCCAGGATAGTCATATGTGTGTGGTTGCTGGTGCTTTCGTGGTGCGCATTCTTAGCCTCGGTGTCTTAAATGAGCTTTCTAGTAAGCGACAGCCAACAAATTTGATCCCGCATATGCGTGATATTAAAACACAACTGCTTCATCTAAGGCGGCGACATCATTATGAAATAAAATAAAACACAAACAACTAAATACTAGTAGTAGAGATATCTCGTGAGTGACCATACAATATCATTTAAATATTTATTAAACAAGTGTAGTAATTTCAAAATTAAATAAATGTGATATCTTTTATGGAGCCGATACCGAATGTTCCGCGGTGATGAAAAGGCACTCACAAATGAAGCTAACACTAACCGAGGGAACGGGGAGTGCATGGCACGATTGGTTGAAATATTCGTCTAATTTGCATAATTTTGATATTCATGAGAAATGAAAAATTCGTCTTTTCAGTAATACTGTACTAAAATGCTTCCCGATAGCACACATGCTAGTTTTAAATTGACTGATTCTATCGCTACGAGTTGAAAACAATAATCGAAAAACTGATGTAAACGTGTTTTCGGACGGCGCCCTCTGGTGCCAATCCCCTTGGCAGGGAATCGCCGCAGAGAACATCATTAGTGAGCGCGTTCTCAACACCGTGGAACATTAGGGCTCGTTCTCATAAAAGAACGCCCTTAATGAACACGGATTGTCGTTACTTTACTTTATTGCGAATAAGAAATATTGTTATTTTGGAACCATCTCCATATTTACGGTTTCAGAGATGAGTTTGTAACATAATTACTCATTTGGGAGTAAACTAAACCCATGAAAAAATCGCAACTGAAAGTTGGTAAAGCACATTTCTTGAGGAAGAAGTTGAGGATGGGAAAATTTGAAATTACGGCATATAGAACAGACATCCATCATGCAAAATTACACACCCACCACTTACACCCGCTCTCCCACAAAATAACAACATTATTTGTAAAATGTAGTAGTCATTTCATGTATTATAACAAGTGACACATTACTCAATAGCATACATACATACACTGTTTGCAGAAAAAATTGCGAAATACACCGTAAATGTGATTTTATGTTACTCTTTTTTTAGTAACCGTGTTTCACAAGTGTGAATCAACCGATTTATCGAGTATAAAATTATTAAAATGAATTGAGAAATTCAAGGTATTTCACAACTCGCCTGATAAAAATGTCAAGAGTGCCGTGGAAGTGATTGCAATGACTTTTTCATGAACGTACCACACCTTATATTCACAAGTCACTCAGCTTAGAGAGTTTTCGACGACCATCGGCGTGGAACTCATATTAGAAATGGTCATAGAGTAGAACGCGCTGCAACGATCCCGGAGGTGTCATTTCAGTGGCGGCTTTGTCTTACATTTTTGCTTCATATAATGAATACTCTTAACATCAAAACGGAGTATTTCACTTTATATCCATTCTGGCACGTTCACTGTCCATTTCGGATGTCTATTTCTTGAAAGCAACCACGAAATCAACAGCGGCCGAAACAGCACCAGTGTTGCGAACGACGATTTGTTATGCGCAGTATCGCTTTCCATGGACGTTATCGCAAACAATCTCAGCTCGAGACAGAAACAAAAATGAAGCAATGTTTAAAAGTATAATTCTTAACGATAGTTCAATGTATGGACCACGCCACCAACCACAATTTCATTCAAATTCCAAACAATGAACAACAATATCCATCAAAATGGATGATCATATTTAAAAAAAAAACAAAAAAACACAAACATTTATGCTAAATATATATTCATCAAATGTATTTACCAAACTAACATACAAATGTCCACTCTACCGACAGCGTTGTTCCTGTATGTACGCACTCGTACGCAGCGCTTGACGAATTTCACTCATCATGGCTTCAGCAGTCAAGAACTATTATTATACCATGACCATGACAGCCAATCAGATTCGCGCATTGCAGGTAGATATATTCGTGCTGCAATATTCGTATGTCTACCTCCAACCGGGGACCTTATTCCTGATCTGATTTACGCCAATAAATTGTCAAGGGAACACGATATGCGGCAATATTCATGGACTGATTCGTTTGACATGTTTGCGCTCACTATTTGACTTCCTTATTGAAAAAAAAAAAAGGATTTTGTAGGAACTTTGCGTGATTTCAGTCGCGCTTGCCGTAAGTTTCGCCAGCGCACAGCACCTTTTTGTTGGATTTTGTTACATATTTTGCGTGTTTTACTGTATATCACATATTATGTACAGTGTATTTGTTGAAAGAGAATGGTGTTGACATATATCCTCAAGCAGTGTGCAGCTCCGTGTGCAGCTCGTGTCCGTGTTCTAATGCAAAATGGAACTCGGTGTAGCGTATAGCTGCGCACAGGATGGCGCCGGATATGTTTGTAAAATCAATTCTTCGTCAGGCTGAAGCTGTTGAAATTAGGTTTATCAATACAACCATGAATTTCAAAGTAAAATAGCAGTAGAATCACTGCTCTTGAACTCTTTCAACTTGTATATTTGTGTTCATACATGGCATGTCTTCAGCTCTATGAGAATGACCTGGAAGATTGTTATAATTAAGTGACACAATTTTCGTTTTAAGATTTGTTCGGTATAATAATACAAATGTTCAACCCAGCAGATGTCCCCCTCTGTTGGGGTGAACATTTGTATAAAGAAGGCATAATAGAAACGGGGATTATTCGTGGCAAAACTCGTGGCGAAGCGCGGTATTTCCGAGTACAGTCTCCCTCCCTTCTTTTTTTTCCAAATAGGTATTATATGTTCGGAAGATGAGCTTGCATACCTCGTACCTAAAAGAAAAAAGTCAGGGGAGCCAGCAGTGACTTTCATGTCCATACATTTCGCCTGGCACACAAATATTAATTATAAAATGGTCGGAAAATCTTATATATTATACAGATGCAGCCATATCCATTTATCATTATTTGTTACTCAATAGCTGTAGTGAAATGTCAACTGTCATTTATCATTGGTTGTTACTCAACAGTTGTAGAGATGCAGCCATATCCATTTATCAGTATTTGTTACTCAATAACTGTAGTGAAATGTCAACTGTCATTTATCATTGGTTGTTACTCAACAGTTGTAGAGATGCAGCCATATCCATTTATCATTATTTGTTACTCAATAACTGTAGTGAAATGTCAACTGTCATTTATCATTGGTTGTTACTCAACAGTTGTAGAGATGCAGCCATATCCATTTATCATTATTTGTTACTCAATAACTGTAGTGAAATGTCAACTGTCATTTATCATTGGTTGTTACTCAACAGTTTCAGAAATACAGTTATATCCACTTATCATTTGTTACAGTAGTAATATGCTGACTGTCATTTATCACTAGTTGTTGCAATGCTGAAATGACTATTTCAATGAGGTCAAAACAGCCTAAATATCCAGCTAAAATAAAGCATCTTAATGAATGTGGATTGTGTTGTGTACAGTCATTAAATTGTCCATTGTATCTATGTATATATGGAAATGCATGCATCATAAGAAGGCTATTTTGTGACATTATTTTGAAAATAAAACAATAACATACTATATGTTACAAAACTACTCTTCACCAGTATACAATTAGGCTGGTGGCAGGCTAACATATTAGAAAGTTATATATTGGCATTGGGATTTTGTGTCAATGTGCTGATTTGTAAATCTCTTGTTGTTATTTGCTATTCCGGTTACTAAAATTGTATTGGTAATTTTATTTCATTTTATTTATAGAACAGATAATATAATCGCTTGTAGTATTACCCATATACCAACAGATTGTTTTATTTGCATCCTTATTTTATATTTATTAATTAGTAATAATCCACATTTTATAATGAACATCCACACAAGATTGAAACAAAAATAATGATCGATAGACTCGATGCAGCCCAACCGTGGTATTACATTGTTTCATATGATAAAAGATTTTTGGATTCAATTTGTACAATCACTGGTTCTGATGCAATATTATAGTAATATATATTGTCATTGTACTAATTCCCATTAATTTGATCGTCAGGAGAATAAATATTTTTTGCCGAAAATAAAGAAACGTTAAATGAACAAAATTATTCTATTTCCGGGTGGCCATTGTGGATTATATATCAGACCTTTATCTAAATAATAAAGCTCTCATATTGCGGTTTCGCTCTCTATAGTTGAGATCAGTTTCCGTTTTGTTTTGTTTTGACGCAGAGGACGCTATTACGATAATCATGTATTCAAATGAAGTCTATTGGCAGCTGCCTGATGTGTTATGCAGTATGAAAATAGTCTTGGGACTTGTGTTTAAAAAAAACAATTACTATGTGGTTCACACTTTGGACAGTCACTATGTGGTTTTGGGTACTGGTCTGTGTCACTGTGTGCAAACAGTTGTGGTTTTATTATTCCTGGGTTTGATTTCAGATTTCTATTCATTGTTTTACGGTCAAAATGGTTTCATGTTGTGCCAATAATAACAGGGCCAATTTGGCAATCATGTTCACCTGGCTACCTTTTCGGACCAAAGGTCAAAGTTAACGCATGTATTTTTGTTTTGTTTGTTATTATAAACACACGGAGGACCTAGCTTGGACCTTCAAACGTGGCACACATGTTCCCTATGTGTCTCGGTAATATGTTTACATCTGGTAACTGACTGTATTTTGTACTCACACTACAGGTGTTATTTCTATATTCGTCGTTAGTATTAGTTAATTAATTAACCGACCATGTATTTAGAAATGTTTCATTCTCATACAACAGAAGATTGTTAAATTACATATGGATCATTAATTAATATTCAATCCATTTCAGCTAACTCATCAGTACACAAAATTAACAAACTGAAAAAGTTTGTTAGATCCAGAATCCAATTACGGGGTCTGAAATTGTATTTTTGACCCTGAAAAAGGATGTTAATTCCGACGTTTAAGCCTTGCAGTTAGATAATTAAAATAAATTACAAACTATTAGTGTAGCAAGTTACAATCCGTTTCAGCAAACTGTTGTTAAGTTTCAGAAAAAAAAACTTACTGCGAGCAGTTAAATAGTATACAAATGTCCAATGTTTTTCATATTAGTTTTACCCCTCATTTTAGCTAAAGTGCCAACAATCTAATTGCGCGAACAATAGCTACATCTTAAATTAGCGAATTTCTAGGATTAACTAAATTAGCTAAAATATCATGCTAGTAAAAAAGATATGTTTTACAGTATATTTACTAGAAATAACTTACTGAAAAAGGATAGGTATTGGGGTTTATATTTGTATTACTGAAGCTCAAGAAGATTAATTTAAAAGTGATGTATCGAGAGAATGAATACTTTGATGATACATGATATATATATTCTACTGATTCACGATGTAGGAATGATGGTTTGGACCATCCGGCATAACGTGCATTCTACGGCTATTCTTCAGTTTTAAATGGACAAATCGGGAAATAGAAGGTATTTCATTAAAACAAATATGGTAAAATTACTTGATGAAGAAATCGACTATTCGATAATCTTTATTCAATCTCAAGTTACATTAATAATGATAGGTAGGCGCTGCGTTGTGCCAAATACTATTACTACATCAACAGCGTTCATTACAGGTGCACAATACCGGCGAGGCATGTACAATCTCGAAATAAATAAACAAAGCGGTATTGCGTGAACATTCTACATGGAATGACATTTTAATAGTGTCTTTTATTCTATTACGAAGGCGACAAGAGTGCGACAAGAAATGTCATGTTATGCAATTATGTTCGGAAATAGACGCGTCGAGTGTATGTGCATTAAGTTCCAAGTAAGCATATAAACATAGGGTACATAATATAATAAATACTGCCTCAAATAGCCAAATGCGACCGGGGCAACTCATATTACAGTTATATTCGTAAGAATATACCCATTTACCACAAGCACGATTTCGAATTGTAAGGTATGGATACAATATGCATATTATCCTTATTGACAACATAGTAATTATTAATTTATCTAGCTATTTGTAGAAATATTGTGGCTCGTAAAATTGACAGTTGCACTTACTTCGTGCTCTTTTGCTGATTGCTTCTATTGCATGTTCAATGTCGAAATCTTCTACGCTCAGGATTTCGGTAACAACAGTTACATTGTGGCTTTCTAGTTGCTCCTTCGTAATTTGATAAACGATGTCAGTGTACGCGTTCTTTTCACTAAGGATTCCTACATGCGCCCACCCGAATCGGAGAATAATTTCTACGATCATGGTTACGTCTTTGGACGATGGTGACACCACCCTACTGAATGTATCGTAATGTTTCTTATCGGATAGAACGGCTGAAAGAGCAGACATACTTATCATCGGAATACTCCAGCTCGAAGCCAACAAGCCACAGACTTCACAGTCGGATGAGCAAGGGGGGCCAATAACGCCCGCCACTCTGTGGTCGTCAACAACATGTATCAAACTGATGAGGCATGTTTTCCCGTAGTCCCTGCAAATGGCTGGGGCACTGGTGAAATTAAGTGTTATATTGCGGAATACATCCCTGTCCGTGTTGACTTCATCTCTAGCAATGTACGCTGCCGAAGCTAACGTGTTGAAACTCAGATGGAACCCTGGTTGCGAATGCAAAAAAAGTGCTATACGATAATCTGTCGCCTGAACGTGTAAATAAAGAAAAACATGGACCATACACGCCATATGTATATATGTATTCCAATCCATCGTGCACTTCAAATGAAGTTCCTTCCAAGCGTACTCTGAATATTCAAGATAGTTTAGTCGGCTTGAGCAGACTTCCTATGATGTAGTTCAATGGATTACAGAAAAAGCCATTCAACTATATTTCAGTATTTGCACAGAACTAAGGAGCAGGCCAAAAAGATAATACAAATAAGTCTTTTACAAGAGTCGTAAAAATGCAGGATACCCCGAGGATCTGTGCTAGGGCCGACTTCTTTCTTGATTTGTATAACTGGCATTTATATATCCTCACAGCTATTCACATTTAGTTTTCGATACCGATGTACATGTGAAGTTACTCGGCTCAACACAAGGAAACGTTGAAAAATTTAAGAACATGATTTAAATGCGACAAATAAACACGCATACACGGAGCTATATTTGTGTCATTCAAATTTGTGCACACAACTAATCAAATGAAAAAATCAGCTACAAAATCAATTCAGTCGGTCGAATGAAAGCAGTTCATGGGTCTAACTTTTCAAACTGGTCTAAGTTAAACAGTTGTGGTCAATTACAACATGACCATCTGTCATTTACAAACTGCGTATGCTTGCACCTTATAGTATGAAAAATGCAATTCAATCCAATTTCCCATTATCTCCCCTTGTACCCTTTAACGTCGGGTTTTGACGAAGGCTTGAATTGTATTTTATCTATTTACAACACTAGTGCAGTGCTCATTATTTTAAGTGACTTATTTGAAAAAAAAGTGTACATTATTTGTTTCGTTTTTATGTCTTAAAGTATTCGTTCAGAAGCGCAAATCTGACGCTGTTCAACAGTCCACTAGATTTTACAGTCGATAACAATACTTTCTGGACTCTCCAAACCCAATTCTGTGTCAGTATTTAAATATAAATATAAGAAATCCCTCACTAATAGATATTGATATAAAATATAATGTTTAAAATAATTAATAATTAATATTTACTTATTTCATATTGTTAACTTTACTTGTATGTTTTTTGTGTATTTGTTCTCTTTATTTGTATTTTTAAGTTTTATATTTTGTATATGGAACAAAACATATGTTACTATTGTTTAATTGATTTCAGTATACTTTTATTATTATATTATTGCCACAAATTGAGGTGTTAACGATAAAAGCTTTTAGCTTCTAGTTAATTTCCTTCACATGACACAACATTTTCTGTAGTATTGTATTTTTTTTCTATTTTATTGTGAGAAATAAATGATTGATTGATTGACCTCGCCACGACAACATCGTTGTTTATATTAATTACGCAAACACGACACCGTAAATGCACCTTATTACTTTAAGCGTCCCTGTTAGACTGCTTGAAATAACGTGTAGTAAATACATTCGCGATTCGAATTTCTGACGTCACAAACAACATATACACTAATTATATTAGTGTTGTTGTTCCTTTCATCGCCAATTCCGACTACGATGATAGTCATATCCATGCAGGTAAGACATGTATCATGTGGAAGAACCCCGTTTTCATGAACGATGTGGTGTATCCTGGCTCCGTAATTTTCGCGAACTAAGCTAATGAATAATGGAATATATCTGTCAGCAAATTTGCTTCATTGGAATGCCGATACGTTGTTTAAAAGGTATATTCTTCAAACTCGAGAAATGCGTTCTAGCATACTGAGATTGTCATCTTCATTTCAGAAATGTTTAACGACTCGCAGTCTTGTTCTTAACAAAGTAGATAGAATGGTATCCAACTACTTATATATATATTTTATTTTATGACATATTATAATATATATTATAGGAACTTTTAATAATTTTGGTTAATGTAAGAGATTGCTAGCATGTAAACTAAATTATTCCTGAAACTAAGTTGCTTGATTTGCCTGAATCACTGAGGGGAATTATTCTAAATGTGTCAACATAACTATTTACACTCCTTTGACTCGACTTGGTGATTACTTGTGTCAAAAAATATAAGATCCTTGTGGATATTACGACACACACACAGGTTTGATAGAATATATCTATATAAAAATATTTGAAGTAAGCTTTATAGATATTTATTATTGTTATGCAAATTGTTTTGCAATTTAAAAATAACATTGGAATAACTAGATATATTTTACGGCGCCGAGTATGACTGGTCTTCAGTAATATGTTTGGGCGAAACCTCTTATTGAATTCAATCTTATACATAAAGGACATATCCAAAAGACATGAGCGTTCGTCGAGCGGTACAATTGTCGTTGAGTTGCGCCATCTGCCGGCGGTTGCAGCAACTCGTGCTAGGCTGTATGCTTCGGTGAGGGCGCAACATATAATTAAAACATAAGGCTGTAACTGAAGGCTGTTGTATCATACAGTAAAGTGCACGCACGACTCCGTTGTTTATATTTATAAGCAAAATTATTTGACACCAGTCACGTTCAAATCCAATTCGATTGCGTAGGTTGGTGACTCTTTCCTTTCCAGAAGCGCTAACTCCATTACCTAGTGGTAATATACGTCGTCTTATTCATATCTGCTTTTTTGTTATAATGTGAAATATACATGCCTTAGTACCACAATTATCATATAGTGCCAATGGCTGTTACATCAACTATTCACACTACGTTATGTGCTACCATTTCAGTAATGCTAGATTTGTTAACCCGCGGCCGAAGACTACAAATCTTGTTTTGTTAAAATCGATCGACTCAATTCGCCCGTTTGTCGTCGTTTATAAATATAATATTTTAAATTGACGACTGACATCTAAATGTGTCATGATATTATCAAAGATGTATATGGATATATCCTACTAGGACATAACATAGCGAAAGGATTCCACCATGTTGTGAGCGGTTGAGAGCGCTTACAAGTCCGTCTCCAACTATTTGAATTTTAGTTTGCGAGGAATCTGACTACTACTCCGTACTTGTCTTCTGCCACCATCCACACACGTTTGCATGAAACAGTCTGTGTTGCGTTCATTGCGCGTGTTGGTTTGGGCTCAGTCTGATGACAAACACCCCTAGCGACCGGAATTAAAGGTACCTGTCACCTTTACCTACATCGGAGTCCAACCACTGAGTAGTTTGCACGTCGGATATTAAAATTGCGCCCTCTAGTCTACTTCGGATTAGCTGTGAAGTGTGCGCGAGTCACATTCAGGTCACAACGCCCTCGCGCACAGAAATGAAAAAAAAAAAAAAACGTAGGTTCTATCGAGTATTCGACGGCCTCAAGTGAAACAGTACGATCCATGAAAACATCTATGCGTAATTTGAAAAGTTGAAAACAAAAAATTGCCAGAAATACCATTTATTTTCGGTAAACCCAGAACGTCCACTTTGTAATTATTTCGATTATAGATAAACAATATTCATTCAAGTGTATCGGAATAATAGAAATCGCTCCATTTATTTACATGGTATCAATTTTTGCAAAATCATACAGCTGTCACAAGTGTGTTAAATTATTGAAAACAATGAAGATATATATATAACACAATGCGTCCCATGGCACTAATGTGTGTGGCTTAGTTTTCTATCGGATGGTGGACCACTTCATTCCGCAAAAAAATCGACAAACCCTGCCCAGTGGGAGTGTGCGGACGTCAATAGGAGTGCCCCCCTTACCGAATTTCTGGATCCACCAGTGGTACGTATTCCAATGTATAGAAGGTAGTATGGTTAAAGCCAACAGGTGGCACTGTCTCTCGAAGAATATAAATTTAACCTCGCAGTCAATTTGCAATTTGATGATGATACTGCAATATGATTTTGTGAAAAACCGCTGTTTGTATGTAAACATGGATTATTATAATTTTATATATTAGTCTATCTATTAAAAGACAAAGAGAAATTGCAAAATTAGACAAATTCGTTTTTTTCTCATTTTATCTAAAAAATTACGTTAGTTATTTTTCACTATTGTCTAGCTCGATCACGACCAATTGAACTGGCGTTAATATCCATATCATATCTTTCAGGGATATTACCCGTGACGCAACTCAGAGGTCGTATGACACTAATTTGTCCCGGTGCATGGCTTTTTCTTCGAAAGGCCATTCGAAAAAAAGTGCATTTCGTCGGAAGTTGGATATATCGAAGCGAATCCCTTTCGACAGGTGTCCTCCGGTAAAGAAAATGCACCTGTTTGTAGTTTGTACACATAAAATACTTAAAAGCGGGAGGGTCGTCACCTGCGCACGCGCGGGAATTGAGTCCCAAGCGACGATAACAACTCACGCTAAAACGCAAAGGGGAGACGCTCGTGTGTAAACAATGACACGCTATGGCCATCTGACGCATGCGTAGGTGACGACTCGCCCGCTTTAAGACTATGATGGTCAAATTATATGCATTGTACAATTTTTTTTTGTAATTAACTGATCACCGCTAGGTTGTCAGCAGACCCGAGTTAAACACGAAAATGTCTTGTGACCCACATATTAAATAAATAAATAAATAAATAAATAAATAAATAAATAAATAAATAAATAAATAAATAAATAAATAAATAAATAAATAAATAAATAAATAAACGAATAAATAAATAAATAAATAAATAAATAAATAAATAAAATGATTGATATTTTATTCATATGTTTTGGGAAAATAATGAAATCCGCTGTTTATTTAAATGAAGTGTCGTCATGCATGGTCCACGACATTTCGTAGAAAATCAGAACCCCGGATTTGTTATATCTTTATGCTTGCTCATATATGACGTAAGTGGTCACGTGGTATATAACGATTTATGCAACCTTATCTACAGATGATGCAGAATACAACACTTGGAAACGTTTAGAAAATAATCTACACTATACCCTCCTGCATGGTACCCGACAATATTAAAATAAGAATCGAGCAAATAACACCCGCTTTCTCTTTCTTTCCTTTTGTAAGGCAGACCCGCGTGTTTGTGACATCCGGTCAAGTTTCCGGTTTGTTTGTATATTTTTTTTCTCTGAAAATAAAAAGTCTTTATGACGATGATATTATCGTCTGCAGGCAGCTTTGGATCAATTTCCGGCAGCTTTGTTGTTTTATGGTGATTTTAAAAATCGCAAAAAAGATGATTTTTATAACTATGGCTCTATGGTCAAACCAATGACGTCACAACTTGGACTTGTATAGCCCAGTTCAAGACAACCATAAACACACTTGCTATTTGCAGTCTAAATACTACTGACGGAACTGATTCATTTAAATATTATTTGAATTGTTCGTATTTTTTGTAAAGTTTAATAAAATATTTCATACAAATTGTTAGTTTAGAAAAGCCGACTTACGGGCGAACAGTGGACATCTGATATATACGTAAAACTGAATTTCAATCTACATTTGTTTTATGCATACCATATTTTATCAAAAACTTAAAGAAAGCGAACACGTTATAATATTCCTGATATTCGGCTTTAGTTTTAACGCTTCAATCTTCGCTCCTTCAACCGTCACTCACCTTGAACGCGTTTCTCTTTGATATTATTAATCTAAATGCGCCTTTCTTTTCACTTCCGGTGTGGAAATGGGGGAAACGTCGCTTGTATTCGCGATCCCTACACAGGGCCCCTTACACCATAAAGTAAGAAAACCTGAATCGACAACAACAAGGACCGTGCTGCAACGATAATAAATAGTATGAATACAGGTGTAATGCATGAGGAGGTCATTTTGAAGGTTATCATCCGGGGAACTGATTACCCAACATGCAACGCGTTTATTTTTCAATTTCTCTATCCTGCCATCTTCTTCACTGGAATCTGATGTGAATAAAGCGATATGGAGTTTATGCAGTCTCCTTAAAACAAAATGGCTTATTCTTGAAGGAAATATTGTCGGAATGTCTGCTAAGGCAACGATGAAGAAATTTGCAAGCATAGGACGTGTGTTGGATGGGTTGCGGTCGGGCTCGACCCCAACACCGAAGGCGGAGAACGAAATCGTCGAAACCCTGAGTTCGGAAGATTTCACCATCAACAAGGTATGTATGCCACTGTAGATGAACTCGCAGTAAATTTTTCTTTATTTCGACCATCCAGTGGGTTTTAATCGTTCTCCACTCGGTTGTTATTATTTTAGGTCGTACGACATGGATTTCCATACAAGCCGTCTGCAATGGCTTACGACCCAGTGCAACACATTTTGGTGATCGGATCCGAGAATGGTTCGCTCAGAATGTATCCTTTTAGCATTTCATTCATTGGCGACACGTCGATCTCTGTGTTGACTCCAACGCTCTACGGTAAGCAAAACTGCATCGTGTCGAAATAAAAGTAAGTCTCAAACATCATGCCGATTTGCTTTGCCGTAATTTGTGCATAACATGACATTTTACATCGCAACCTTCCCCGTCGCCACCGCAGGGGTTGTCATTTTGTACTCGTTCCGATCTGTCCTGCTTCAGCGAATCGTGAATTATGCAAATCCGTATCCACAATTTCTTTAGTCACTAAGCAGCAGCGCGGTTTTCACTCGACGTATATTCGCGAAATTATCGTTATTTTTGTAGAATAATTCCTTTTATTTATTCACCCAGCGCCTTTAAACTGTTTTGCATGTTAGTGGGAACAGCCCACTTTTAAATCCTGCTTCGCAAACAACATTCAGCCAGGGCTGTTGCATATTTAAACATACAGGCCTGACGTCATTTGCATATTAAATATGTAATATGTAGTATACACAACGTATACACTGCGATATGTATATCAGGTGCTTATTACCTAAACTTGTACAGTCTTGATCTGAAAATGAAATTTTATATTTCCACTTCTCAAAAAAATGTTTTGTCTGCTCTGTCTCATCACCATTTTTCGCCCATGCACATTCTTTGAACCAGGAAATGAGTGTGTAAAATATTATTGCTGTATATTTTTATCTAATTTAATATTCTTATCCAGATTGACTTAGTAATCCTCATCCTAGACTGGTCTGGGCAGTTCATACAATATTAATATTTGTCAGCGATATTACAGAAAATTGTTTATGATACTGTAGGTGTGTATTTTGTTCAGTTGAATTACCACTTCATTAATAAGGTCAGCAGAATAATTTACAAAAGAAATGTGTGGTTATTGTACTTGTACTTGGGTTACTATGTACAGTAAACTGAAGTGTAGTGTAGTATGCTACTTTAGTAAAATCCCTGTGTAAAACTCTGTAAACATTGTGTAATCGAAAACTCATTATTGTGATACTCAGACTGTTGTAGTATTCAAAATGTCAAGTGTCTAATTAATACTTGAACATTTGTAAAATATGAAAGCCTTTTAAAAATTTGAGAAAGTTATTTCTTTTCAATTAGTAACATTAAGCAGATGATACTGTTACATTTATTATTACACTTTTTTTCAGGATAAGAGTAAATATAAAAATATAATCTATTATATTATTGATTGTTGATTTTATCATTAGTAGGTGTTATTACAAACTGTATAATTTGTACTTACCCTGTAGTTTGTAAACAAAACACCCCCCACCCCTACCATGGATATATTTTACATTTTCATTATTCTTCTCTGATGATGTCGGTTTCTTCTTTGGCTGTTGCATTCTGGGTATAGCAGAACTACTAATCAAGGTACTTGTACATCAGGAAATGTAGGCCGGTGCTTTGCAATCTGGCAAATCTATTAGAATAAATAAATGACAAAATGGTACAGGCGTCAGCCGTTAATCTCAATTTTTACTGGTCTTTCATGTAATATCAAAGAAGTCTGGACTGTATCGTATTACTTTTGGAAACAAAACCTAAAATGTTGTATCGTTCTCACAATGCTGTGCTAAGGTCATGCGACTATGAATCTATAATTTAATTTAAGTTTAATGTTCAGCAAATCAAGTGATAAGCTGTTGCTGCAGCCATGCAGAGTGAAACGACATTGATTTTAATCCAAAGATGCATGCCATTTCTGAGTGCTTGCTTTTAAAGAAATTTGCTTGTTGATTTGATATAGCAGGTGAAAATAAAACTGTGCATATAATTGGCCATAAGCTATGCTATGGTAGTTACTGTCTCACCTAATGTGTTCATTTTAATTTTAAAATGGATATAGAGATATAATTGCGTTTAATGAATTATCTTGGATAAGTTATCTTGGAGGATTAAAATTGATAAAATTAATCTCCTTAATAGACTTCCACAAAATAGTAGTACTTTTTATCCATGTTTTTGGTCTCATCAGCGCAATATAAGCTTGTCTGAAATGTATAACATTCTTGTCAACAAGCCATCTATAGAAACTGGTTGTTGTTGAAATTATTCTATTCGGATCTGAATATAACTATTAATAAAAATATTTTATCCACTATTTTGTAAAATTTAAATCAACTGATTTGTGAAATTTTATTAATTTAGTTGTGCTGCAAGCAGCTACTGCTACAGTTTTGTCAGTGGCAATAATGATGAAGATTTTGACTTTGACTGTGTTCCAACAGACTCAAATATTTTTAATCTCGTAAATTCGGGTGGTACGTAATTAATATTGTAATAAAATGTGCATATTTGACCATTTCTGTTTCTTCATTGTAAGAGTCAATGACGACGCACCTAGTTTCGTAATTTTATTTTCCCTCAAAGACGTAATATTCCCCTCAATCTGTCACACGGTGAATTAAAATTGTCATTTGCATTTGTAAGCGCCCACCCCTGAAAAATCCTGATTTCATGAGTTGAGGACCCTGGGCGCTGACGCGGTCGAGTACGGTAGTTTTGTCAACCCCCCCCCCCCTCACTCATCCATCCAAGGTATTGTTGGATCCTAGAACACTATTTTGTATAACAGTGATTTGTCTATTGTTTTTTAATGTAGTTTCACTGATTATAGTTATTATCCAGAAAAACTATGTGACTGTAAACCACTTTATTTTCATGAGAAAAAAATAAAAGTTTTGCAAAGTGAAAAAATCATGGATGAATACATCACAGCAGTCACTTCGCATCATAATCGTGTGGGTCTCCCGCAACATATAAAACTCATGTAATACAATTGTTTGTTTACACACAAAGTCAAACATGAACACAACAGTAGCTTTTTAAATCATTCGAGTCGCTACAGTTTCAGTAGTAATATATCCCACTTTTAAACAAAAGCACATGTTGTTGAAGTTCAATTTGTATCAACATTCGTTAAAATTATTAGCAGTAGTTTGAATAGACCCATGTGTACAGAATGTCACTGGTATGGAATTATAAAATTACAAAAGGCAATTTCAAGTAGGTGTTATTGAAAATTATAATGTCTATACTGCTCCTCATCATTTGATTTACATATAATGTCTGGGAAAATACATGATGTGTTTTTATTTAAAGCTGCTAGATGCTTCTCTATGTGTTTATCGCTATCAGAAGATTTCATGATATTCAGATGTTCAGGTTTTCAACTTGAAGATGTAATTTAATTCTACCATCTAGAACCTACATCACAACAGTGGTCATATTCCAATCATCACAGAAATAATGTTTACAAGTTTATTTGAACTGAACCAAGAAAAACATAAATGGTCTCCCTCCACCCTATTTCAATAATGGTCAAAAGTAATGTTTTAAGGCTGACCAATAACCAAAACATTTCTTGTAATTAGAATTAACCCCCTCATGCCCCTACTCCACTTACATCTGAAATAATGGGAGTTTTTGGTGATGTTTAACCTTAAAATGTATTGATGTCGCATTTGTATCTTTACAATTTCGTCACTGGTTTTGGCGCTGAACCATATTCTCTTTTCAACAAAGTCAGTAAAGTCAAATTGACAAAACGGAGCAGCGAATCACGACCATATTGGGAAGCATGTGGGTACCAAAAATCATATCTCGAAAGCGATTTGTCATGTGACTAACTAGGGCCATTATTTGATCAAGAAAGCATGATATCAGTGGAGTCTAAATTTTAAAAATCATTTTGTAATATGCGTAGTAACTATTAAGTTTTTAATTTGAAAATGCCATAGTGTATTGCGTGAATGACTTTTTGGAATCTATTTTGTAACATTAAGTGAGTGTACTGATGAGTCGTATACAACTAGAAATTGAATCATGATGGCTACTAATTGTATATCCTGTTTTCAGTTTGTTCCAATTAGACACATAAAAATGGCAAATACATGTATTGATTCATGCTCTCTATTGATTTTCTTGAGATAGTCACTCTCTAAATATGTTTACGCTATCATTTAATTTGACTTGAATATTTTTATTCTCAGTTTCTGTGGCCTCATTTTATAAACATCACAAACATATATTTGTATTAGATGTTATACCTGGGATTTGGTTTCCTATATTACCTATACTTGTAGATGCCAATGTTGATATATTTATAGTTATTTATATATTTAGTTATTTGTTTTTAGTATCTTGCATATTCAGGTTGAAACTAGCACACTACTTGCCTTGCTTTTCTTGGATGTATTCATGTCTTGGAGTGCCTCTGTGTATGTGAGCTTATTGTGTTAGATATCAAAACTGCTCATTGATCGATTAAAAGCTTGAATCATTGCAAGGCCAGCTGTGATCAATCTTCATTTCATTGGAACGAGATAGTGACGCACATAGCAAAGCTTCAATTTTCTGGTTGTCCTCTTCTCACTGACAGATGTAATTGCAATCAGGTATCCCATTGGCATGTACTTTTTTATTTCAAAAGTATGATCATAACATGATCTGATGATGTACAGAACGGTCCTAGCGTAACTTTTATCTAGCTTTTAAGCTGGCGTAAAGCTAGCTTAGCTTAGCTTGATTTCAATACAGAATGGGCACAAATTTATAATCTACAAAAATTATTACTCTGCCTATCTTTGCAATAAAACCTTTTACTCTTTCTCAGGACAAATATCTTCATAAACTTCTACCATTTCTGTCATCTGCTTTGCATGTTGGTAGATACACTTGGATTATGTTGATCTGTTTCAGGCTTAGCATTCACTCTAATCATGATAACTCAGGGTCATTCACTAGTGCTACTGCTTGTACCGGCTTTCAGAATGTTCTTTGGGTACTAAGAATCCATCTGTACTCAGATGTTGATCACTTTTACCTACAATATTGTTAATTTGTCTACATCCACTTTTTTCGATAATGAACTCTCTCACTTATTCTATTCCCATCTTTGAATATCTCTGCAGGAAGGAAAAGATGTATAATAATAAGGTTATTATGAGTATACCCCAAAATATGCACTTA